ACTCCACTTGGGGACACATTTAAAGTTTTTGCAATTTTCCGGACTGACTGACCTTCATTTCTTAAAGTAATGATGGCCACTCGTTTTTCTTTAGTTAGCTGATTGGTTCTTGCCATAATATGAATTTTAACAGTTGTCCAATAGGGCTGTCGGCTGTGTATTAACCTGACTTCTGCACAACACAACTGATGGTCCCAACCCCATTGATAAAGCAAGAAATTCCACTAATTAACCCTGATAAGGCACACCTGTGAAGTGGAAACCATTTCAGGTGACTACCTCTTGAAGCTCATGGAGAGAATGCCAAGAGTGTGCAAAGTAGTAATCAGAGCAAAGGGTGGCTATTTTGAAGAAACTAGAACATAAAACATGTTTTCAGTTCAGTTTCCTTTTTTTGTTAAGTACATAACTCCACATGTGTTCATTCATAGTTTTGATGCCTTCAGTGAGAATCTACAATGTAAATAGTCATGAAAATAAAGAAAACGCATTGAATGAGAATGTGTGTCCAAACTTTTGGCCTGTACTGTATATATATATATATATTGTAAGCTGAACAAGATTATTTACACAAACAGAATAATGGATAATAATGCGCATCCAGGGATAAGTTTCGCTTTCCACAGAAATGCTTGTAACGTTAGATGCAGTATGGGAGGGGCATCAACACAGGGCTTCCAATCACCGAAACATTTTGTTTCAATCAACATCTGTTCGGCAGGGCAGGGATAGCAGGCTGTGCGTGACAGGATAAAAACAAAATGACCTACAGAAAAAGGGCACTTTTCTATGAGCGGCAAAAAGGGCAGGGACTCAAGCACCCTTTGAGGTCTATGTGTGCACATGCTTGGTAGTTTCTATTCAAAATTCACTAGAAAATCATGTTTTCTGCACTCTTTAACATCCAGAGCAAGCTTGAAAACAACTACTTAATTAACTTCATGTTTATTTTCCTCTCAACTAACTGCTATTGTACAAATATGGTTAGTATAGCTTCACAATTATTGCAAACTCCCACTTTCTGTGTTTCCAGGAGTAGAATGAATGTAGAATACTTACGACACTATTAGCATCACTTTGACTCATGACTGAAAAGCTGATAGGTTTGCCGGAATAATAATATATAGAACATAGAAAAATATTAAAGTAACACTTCCCATAATACTTTCAAACCAGTGGACAGAGACAACAAAAGGACCTGACACTTTGTTCAGATTCAGTTCTGCCAGCTGTGGTTTGCTTTCCTGAATCAAAACCTCAAATGCCTTCACCTGGTGATTCCAGGTTGTTCCCACAGTTTGCAATGATCTACCACCAGTTCAGATACAGAATTCACTGATATACGTGTAGAAATGTTCTCACTTCGTGCGCAAAATAAGAGCAAAATTGGTGTCGGATTCATGACACAAGTACACTGGCAAATTTGGTTCTTACCACTGTGCACGTTATTGAATCAGAATCATTCTAAACTGACAGGAACGTGCCCACTATTTGCAATTAGCATACTGCAAAGCCCCCATTTCTCGACTAAATACTTTTGCCAAGAGGTGTATCACAGAGACACAGTGAAGTTGATTCTACACAATATGAGTGAATGTCTTGGCAGTAGGAAAATGCTGATAAGTCGTTTGTCACTTTCTTCAAACACGTTATGTTGCTCTCTCCTGAAGACACGGGCTGCAGTATCTTCCAGCAAGGCTAGAAAGATGCCATCTTAACAGCTGCTTGGAGGTATATCAGAATATTTTATATAGCCTTTGAATATGCACAATTTCATGGCACTAAAAATTGGTGGGAGTAGGTAGTCATTATACGCCAGGTCATTAAAAGCAATGAAAACCAAAACTGTTACATTTCATTATGAACACTGTAGCATACTCAATTGTAAGCTAGGACTGGGACACTCAGTTTTTACAGTTTAATATTTTAATTACGACAATAACTGATGTGGATGAAAGGCCGTCAACTTCATAGTTATTTAATAGATTTAGCTATGAACGTGCAAATTAACAAAATTAACACTGTTGTCTATCAAAGCCTTTTTTAATGAATGCAGTTTTAATGTGCATTTAGTCAAAAGATATGTATTCATATTTTCATCATTTATGCATACATATGGTCTGAGGCAGCTCTAAATTTGCTTCCAAACAAATTCAGGTTCATACGTATTGTTTTAGCACAGATTTATGCGTATGCACTGTCTGTGAGTAAGGCCCAATCTTCTCAATCATGTTCCCAATGAATAAACATCTTTTTGTGTTCTCACAATCACTGAAGGAGAATAACACACACACACATGATACAACAGGTTGGTTTTGTGTTGTATGTTATACGAAATAGAAGCAGGGGGTAACATCTGTGAGACTATCAGGTGGGAAAATCTATGGAGAGTAAACAGTTGCTCAACTCTGTTGTAGTGTCATATTTAAAAGTATGAGGATCCATCAGACGGGTCAGAAGACACAAACCGATCCAATATTATTTCTCTCTCTCTCACTCTATATGTCAGCATGAAGACTGAAAGTTTACAACCACATCTGAGTCTCATGTCCAAGTTCACCAACTGAGGTCATGGACATCACTGAAAAGATTTTTTTTTATGTAGGTTCACTGTTAGGGGAGCAAAGAAGAAAATCAAATCAACAGGAAGTCTGTTTACTGCTCCAAATCCTTCCTGTCATTAAAACATCACACCTAAAATCTCCCTGATCAGACACTACATGCACACATGAGCACCGATAATCAGTATTCACTGATAAAACATGTGCAATTCATTAGCATAATGATGATGAGACAAAGCAGGTGCTGTGTGTGAAACTCACCAACCACCATGATGTTGAACTCCAGGCCGGCCTTCATGGTCTTGCGCCTCATCTGGTCCAGTACCGCCTCGATGCCCACGTAGCCAAACAGGTCAGTGCCTCGGATGAAGCTCATCTGCAGGCCTTGCACTGACTGACACAGCTCCATCTTCACCTCCGCCTCCAGCTCCATCTCCACCTCTACATCTTTCTTCATTTCTCCTTCCTCCATTCCCTTCTCCTTCCCCTTGTCTCCCATCTCTGCATGGGCCTCCACACCATTCTCCTCTTTTTCTGTCGTGGAATTCTGGGTATTCATGCTGGCTGGTTGTTCTTGGCACTTGCCCTCACCTTCTTGCTCTTGTCCCATGATGCCCCTCTCCTTCTCCTCTCTCTCCTCCATTGGGCTAAGCGGGTCCGTCTCCAGCTCTCCAGCAGTTTCTGCGGGTAAACAAAAAGAGAAAGGTAAGAGAGAAGTTTAGACACAGTTTCCACAGATTTGGCTCTGATGGTTTGTGTTTGCATTTTCAGATTGCAGCAGCTGATAGTTGGCACGCTGCACAAATAATCAGTATCTTATACTATCGCACAACTCGGGTAGTAAAACAATCCATCCATCTTGATCTTTGTGTCGATTCAATGATCAACGATCAGATATCATTGATGCAAAGTGAAAACATCATCTTCCAAATCATCATCTTTAGGTTACACCTTTATTCTGAAATTGGCAGTCGGCAAGCGGCCAAGAGAAAGACGGTGAGGATAACGTTATTAATTCAGGAATAAATCAGCAGCGTGGAAATATTTTTCATTGTGGAGAAATATGGGTCAACAGAAATAGCACATGCCATATGTGCACAATGCTGTTCTGAGATAGCCACAAGGTTAATTTATGCAGTGTAAACATGCTTAAACTGATAATGGGTCACAAGCAAAAAACAATTGTTTTGTCCATGAATCTTGACAGTTATTACTAGGGGTGGGGGAAAAATCGATACAGTATAGTATTGTGATATTTTTGTGTGGCAATATTGTATCATCACACCGTGCCAAGTTTCAATTCGGTTATATTACAAACGCATAGATTATAAACCGAAAAGGGTGAAATGAGATGAACAGACTGAAAACTTTATCTTATTAGATGAAACAGACGTTAACTAAGTTTTCCTTACAGGACATAATATACAGTTGAAAAAATAAATTGCAATATATTGTAATATATTTTATCGCGGGGCATTGGTAGCATAGTGGATGGTGCCGGCACCCCACGTACAGAGGCACTGCCTCACTGCAGCGGTCGCGGGTTTGAGTCCGGCCTGCGACCTTTTGCTGCATGTCAGTCCCCACTCTCTCTCTCTCTTTCTCTCTCTCTGTCTCCCCATTTCACACACTGTCCTATCCATTAAAGGCAAAAACCCACAAAAAATAATCTTAACATATAATCGCAACATATTTAAAATCATAATAATATTGTATTGTGACTTAAGTATCATGATAATATCTTATCGTGGATCCTCTGGTGATTTCCACCCCTACTTATTACTGAGCTGAATTTGACACCTTGTTGAATGATCTTGTTGTTAGTCTATGTTTAAGGCTGTTGGAAGAAGTTTGCCCTCAGGGCTTTAAGCCAGATAACCCTGAATTTTTATCCAAAAGATGATGGTTTGGGTTAAATGAAAACATTTCTTCCAGAAAGCGCCCTCTGGCAAAAAGCCCTGACAGTTAACTTACCTCATGTGTTGTTTTATGTGTTAGTGGAGTCAAAGTAAACTACTACAATTATTATTTATGTGTTTTTTTTTATCTATTATGGCCAAAAATAAAAAGAAAGGGGTAGCAGCACCTTCTGTAACAGATTGTGTTAAATGGGCAGATAATATCGTGTCATATTCATCGCAGGCCCGTGAATCACATGGAATTGAAACTGTATCGTGGCAGACTTTGTAATATCTGCAAATATGATGGTGTTGTCCAAAGAATCAATATAATATCATATCACGATGAAACTGGTGATTTACATTCCTAAGTACAACAGGAAAAAAGTGCTCTATGGTGGACAAACTATGCAATGAAGAAACTGCTTCTAATTTCCCAGACCTGGTTCTATGGGGCTGTGAAAGCATGCACTGCACCCTCAGTTTACCATTTTGTGCCTTCACATTAATTTTAATAGTAGGCGCACAGTCTGTGTGGGTGTCTCCATGCACACCTTCTATTTTGGTTTATGTACGTGCAGCAGCGCACTGTGCAAAAGGGCTAGATAAGGTTAAATATAGCCTAGATCAGCAGATGTGGTGATTATTAAATACGATCTCAGTCAGTCACACCACTGGTCTCATAGCTCTGAAACAGATGTGCCAATTACAGATAAACATGATAACAACAGCTCAGCAAACTAAAACCTTTCCCCCAGGTTGTCTAGTGTGTTGAGAGCATCACAATATAAACACAAATTACCACAAATCTGCACCCAAAGACAGCTGAAGTATGATTTTCTCATCCGGTAGTTATTACAATAATAAAAGAAAAATAAAGAAATTGATTTGCTGAAACTGTTTATATAATTATATTGGACTAACGCTATTTTAACAATAATTCTAATCTATCTCACCTCATACATGGTCACATAGTTTAGTAATTAATGTTACACAACGGCATTCACACTGCAGTGTATTTCAAGAATAAAACACGATATGTCATTTTCCTAAAAATGAAGTTGGAAAAGAGTCTGTGATGAGCCCTGGTAACCGGACGTCTCCTTCATAACTAGAATTACTGCCTCGCATTTGTATGCCTCTGTGAAGCACAGAATATATATATACAATCAGCAAAGTTTCAAGGTGGGCACCCAAGATTAGTGTCACCAATTCAGCATCTCACCAAATCTCTCCTCTTCTGTTAGAGTTATGACATTGAATAATGGTTTGCAAATCATTATGATGACACAGTGAAGCTGACCTTTTGGACATAAAGCATCATCACTTCATTCACAGGCACCATCACCATCACCATCATCATCATCATCATCATTAAAACTAACATATGAATTTCTGAGTTATTGCCAAAAACATGTTTTATTAGGTCAGTGTGACCTTGACCTTTGACTAACAAATTCTAATCAGTTCATCCTTGAGTCCAAGTGGATGTTTGTGCCAAATTAAGAGAAATTCTCACAAGGTGTTCTTGAAATACCATGTTCACGAGAATGTTATGGAGGAAGTCATAGTGACCTTGACCTTTGACCACCAAAATCTGTGGACCAGTGCCAAATTTGAAGAAATTCCCTCAAGGTGTTCTTGAGATATCGCCTTCACAAGAATGGACAGCTGGACATCCCAAAAATATAATGCCTCCGGCCACAGCTATCTCTGGCATGGAGGCTTAAAAAAAGCAGAATATTGAGTCATAACCGACTCGTTTGATGTGTGTAGAGGTCTGTATGGTTATACTGTAGAAGCCTGAAGATGTTTTCAGGCAATAAAATGAAGGTTAACACACTTTGGGGATATCATACCCCCCAAAAATACATGTATGTGACTTGTGGAAATACAATTCACCAGACACTTAAAGTGTTGAATTGAATCTTGAATGTAATAGATTTGTAGCCCTCACTCAAGATCTCCTGCTTCAACCAACAACCGTGAACACAATAGCTGTGTGCATGGCTCACAAGTTTGTGCCAAAGCTGATGGTCCTGTCTGTATCATCCGTGCTCCATGCACAGATCTCTGATCTACACAAGCTGAATGGCCATATATCTGCAAAAGTAAAATTCTGTTTCAAATGCAGCATTGCCAATGCATGTGTTAAATATAAACCAGTGCATTACTGCTGTTGTTGATACACACATATATATATGAGTACCTGCTGTCAGTTTAACAGCATGGAGGATGAACTTCACTCAGTGACTTGCCTTTTGGAAAAATGGGTCTGTAGTTGTGATCTGTGTCCTGTGTCTGTGGGTGTTCTGGGTTTTACTGTACATCCAACATGTAGCCTCTGGTAAATACTGAAAATACAAAGAACTGTACTGTAAGAAGAACTACTTGTTTGTTTTTGCAAAACAAGCTTGAAGTGGGCTTTGTGCCAGGTGCACTGTCACCTTGGAATCATAAGGTTTGATCAGACATTTTTGTCAAAATTGACTTATTCATATATTCTTACTCTGTGAAAACTTCATAACAGGAGTGGTTATTTTTAATTCAAATGCATATTTTATTTACTTTTTTTAGAGATCAAAAAGGTTCTTTCTCAAAAAACAAACTCCGAAGGCTCTACTTGTGAGCCAATCAGCATTTCGAAAGCAAAAAAGAGGATCAATCAGGTTCAGCTTCTCTATTACGTCACTGCACTGCTCAGGGCTGATCTAAAACAAAATCTGATACTGCCTTCATACTGACCTGCTACACTTACTTGTCGAGACAGTTCCTTTAGTAGCTGAACCCAACACACATTTTATTTACCAGTAGTAAGATAGATTTGTAGAGAGAATATCTGGAATATCCTTAAAATCTACCTGTCCCACTTTGTGTATAATACAGTCCTGGTGGGGTTGCAACAGTATGAGTTTTTCACAGTACAATAGCCGTCTTACAAAATATCAAATTTCATGGTATCACGGAATTAATATTATCATTATTATCTGTCAGAATGACACTTGAAGGAATTAAAACCGAAGGGTTATTTGGTTAAACAAACATTTTAATACGATAGTTGACATTTGAAACATTTTTTTTAAAATGTGTAAAAAGTTTCCCCTTTGAAAATAACTAAGATAAAGTTGAAAGTTTCATTCCAGTTGCATTTCCTTCTTCAATATTGTAGATATGCAAATGTCCATGGTATGATAACTGTCAATTTTAATATCACGGTATACCTTAAAATAGGTGCACCGTTCCAACCCTAAGTCCTGGTTAGATGTATTAAAGTAGCTGCTTGCTGTCTGACCCCAAGAGAGCTTAAACTAATAGTTCTTGAAAAAATGTGTTTAATAACCAACCATATTCCTACCTAAAACTGACCAACACACTGGACAAAATATGCATCACTGACCTTTACTTAACCCTTTGAAACCTGAGCAAATTGGCTTGGTTTCTTTCAAGAACATGGGAAGAAGGCAATGAGCAACAAAAGAAGAAATGGCCCAAAAAATTAGCAAGGATTTAGTAAAGAGAGCAAGTTAATAACATTAAAATTAGTAGAAAAAAGAAAGTTAAAGACAAACAACCAAACAAGGAAATGATCTGGAAAAAGACCTTAGAAATTCCAATTCTGTCTCATAACTTCAAATATATAATGATTATAATTATAAATATAGTTTTTCCCTATTTTTTTTTCTTTTTTTTTCATTGCATTTTTTAAAAATAATTTTCTAAATCTATTAATTTCTTGAAATTCAAGGAACATTTCTTACCAAGTTTCTCATTGCCTTTCCCCCC